TTCATACCTGTTTCCAGCAAAACTAAATCTAGGAAACGACAACCAATTGTCGTTCTAACAGGCTTGGATGCTGTTCAACCAAATAGTTACTTCAGCATTAGTTCAAATACAAGAACTCGTGGCCATAGGTGGAAATTAGCGGGAGAACATTTCAAACTGGATTTAAGGAAGCACTTCTTTACACAGCGTGTAGTCAGAGTATGGAAAAGTCTTCCTGATAACATAGTGCAAGCTGAATCCTTGGGTTCCTTTAAATCGGAGCTAGATAAGATTTTAACAACTCTGAGCTATTAGTTAAGTTCTCCCCAAGCGAGCTCAATGGGCCGAATGGCCTCCTCTCGTTTGTATAGTTCTTATGTTCTAAAGGCGGCATGGAGCAGTGTAAGGGTGTGTCCTTATTTCATGATGAGGAGGATGATGATGATAATAAGGTTTGAACCAATAACCTTCCACTCACAAGCACAGAGGCTTAGCTTTTTGAGCCACACACTGACCTGATAGTTGGACACCTAGAAGCCTTGACTTAGAAAATGAGGAAAAAACAGACCAATGTGGTGATGTCATATTGTCATGTGAAGACTGTGACTGGTAGAAGTGAAACACAAGTCCCTCCCTTGTTGACTTAGGAGCACGTTGAACTAAGTTCAGGAAGTCCGTTTACTGATGAGATGCTTTGCTTGCCCTGAGTAGTGTTTTTAATATGCTCCTCTCTCCATGCCTTTGCAGAAGTGCTCCAGCACTTCCCATGAGGGTCGGATGAACGAGCCCCAGATGGTGGGCCCCGCCCACATGCGTCCATCCTTCGAGCCCCCGACCACCATAGCCACCGTGCCGCCCTACATCGGGCCAGACACCCCCGCGCTGCGCACGCTCAGCGAGTACGCCCGGCCGCACGTCATGTCGCCCACGAACCGCAACCACCCCTTCTTCGTGTCTCTGAACCCCGCCGACCCGCTGCTGGCGTACCACATGCCGGGCCTGTACAGCGCCGAACCGGCCCTCCGTGAGCGGGAACTGAGGGAGCGCGAGATGCGCGAGAGGGAGATCCGCGAGCGGGAGCTGCGGGAGCGCATGAAGCCTGGCTTTGAGGTCAAGCCGCCTGAACTGGACGGCCTGCACCCCGGCGCCAACCCCATGGAGCACTTTGCGCGGCACGGTGCGCTGACACTGCCGCCCATGGCTGGCCCCCACCCTTTCGCCTCCTTCCACCCGGGCCTCAATCCCCTGGAGCGGGAACGGCTGGCGCTGGCCGGACCCCAGCTGCGGCCCGAGATGAGCTACCCGGAGCGGCTGGCAGCCGAGCGACTTCACGCCGAGCGCATGGCCTCCGTCGCTAATGACCCCATCGCCCGCCTACAGATGTTCAACGTGACGCCGCACCACCACCAGCACTCGCACATCCACTCGCACCTGCACCTGCACCAGCAGGACCCGCTGCACCAAGGTGAGCCTTCATTTAGGTTAATTTGCTATTGGTGTTTTGTTGTTTGTCAGTTATTTGTTTTTCGTGCAGTTTGTTTGTTTGGTTTCCTAGCCTAGAAATGTCTTCATATGTTTACATATGAAATAAATTACATAATATTATATGTGACCATGCATGTGGATTTTCAGCAATTAGCATTGTTTATATTGAGAATAAAATATAACACATTAAGACATTGCTATGTGTGTGTTTGCTCTATATTTGAACAAAAGATCCTGACACACGGCAGGTGGTGGTGAATGTCTTGTGTGTCCCCCAGGTTCTGGGGCCCATCCGCTAGTTGACCCCCTGGCAGCTGGACCCCACCTGGCCCGGTTCCCCTACCCACCTGGCACCATCCCCAACCCCCTGCTGGGCCAGCTTCCCCATGAACACGAGATGCTGCGTCATCCCGTCTTTGGTAAGTGAGCTGATACTTTGCTCAGTTTGTCACTTTATTCCTATTCACTTATGTGTGTTGGTGTCTCTGAATTCCCTGTACTGTGTGATTGTGTTCCCTCTCAATGGCATGGTGGGCTCTCCTGGGATTCCCCCACCCATACGCCGTGCTGTACTACTTAAGCAGTTATAGGATATGAATGAATAAATGGAAGGAAGGATTAATGTCACTTGTGTTCTTGCTTGGATTGCATGATGAACACACTGATGCTCTGTTACTATTATTATTATTATGACCTCAGGTAACCCGTATGCACGAGACCTCCCTGGAGCGTTGCCCCCACCCATGTCAGCTGCGCATCAGCTGCAGGCTATGCATGCGCAGTCAGCTGAGCTGCAGCGGCTGGCCATGGAACAGCAGTGGCTGCATGGGCACCACCACATGCACGGGGGTCCACTGCCGGGCCAGGAAGACTACTACAGGTGAAGGGCTGGGGGGGAGCACCGCATCAGCATTAATCACGAAACAAATATAGTCATGTTTGCATTATTTATTCTTGTGTTTTCAGTAATACTTGCTTTATATGTTACATAAAGGTCATTAAGTCACCAGCAGTAGTCAATTAAATTAATTGAACTAAATAACCCTAAAATGCTGTTTATTTAATGCTGCCATGGATTTGTTTTCCAGCCGCCTGAAGAAAGAAAGTGACAAGCAGCTCTAACTTCCTGTCGAGTTGAGGCCTCAGAGAAACAGAAACGTGGGACACTGACTCAGTGCGGAGCTGTGGAGCCTCTTTCCATTCACACAACATCCAGTCTGACTTAGAAGGAAGCATACAGGAAAGGACTTGATGAAGATGTTTTTTTTTCTTTGTGTTTTTTTAAACATTAATTTGATGTATACTTTTTGAGTATAGACATCTTCAAGACTTTATGACTTCATTGCATGAAATACTCCAACATTCCTACGGTCTTTGTAGGCGCTAAAAAAAGAAAACAAAACAGCCGTACTGGTCACCTTGTCACTGTGCTTAACGTAAACAGAGCGGTTAAGCCATTACATCCGAATCTTTGAAAGTGCTTTCTGAAATTCAGATTATTTTATTACATAGGATAGTTCTCTCCCATCAACAAAGGTAAAAATGTTAAGCATGGCTTTTTTGGCTCTGTAAATAATATATATTATTAGGTGTGAACTTCTAACAAAGATGTTAAGCCTCCAATATTGTAATTATCAAGCATTATCCCTTTGTCTCAAAGGGGAGCACGATGGCATTATCTGAGCAGGAAACGGGCAAATAGCATTAAAAATACAGAGTGGTTGTAGCTCATCAGCACAACTCAAGATGGGGGGTGTCTTCTGTCATCTTTCAGAACCGAGACATTTTGGAGACTTTAATTTCATCTGCTTGGCTGTAAAGATTTATTACAGTGTCAGTCTGACTTAGTGTTTCACGATGTCTAAAGAGGAGAGATCCTGTGAGTCAATGAGTCGTCCAGGGAGCCATATGCACTGAATATACTACATATATATCACCATGGCTTTGGTTTAATCAAACATGCACTTTTAACATATTGGTTATATTGCTTCATGGGATTAAAAAAAAAAAACCATTTCTTGCATTGATATTTATTGAATGGGACAGGTGACATTTATTTAAATAAATTGCAGTGCTGATGGTGCCAGATACCGGTCCTGCTTGATCTTTCCTCAGCAGAACACTGTGGACATAATGGAAGTCAACACTTTAACAGACGTCATCGGCATACTTGCTTTTAAGTCACAGAAATTTGTGTGAATGAAGCTTAATCTTGTAATTATTTCACTTCCTATCCTCTCGGTTTTCCTGACTGACATAATAGGGCTTTAAAAAAAAGATCTTGAAATGAAATAACATTTCTGGTACCATTTTCACTGTGATGCGAGGCATGCACCCGACGGACACGGTCGGCTGCACGGGAGGTTGTGTTGAAGGAGCGGATCCGGAACCCGGGACAAAACTGAACTCAGTAGTTTCTCTCGATGTGGTTTAATTGCTTCTTCCTGGTGTGTCTTCTGTAGAGTTGAGGGCAGTCAATATGCCACTGCAGACTGTTATGCTAGTTAATATAATACATATTCAGACTTGTGTGTCAGTCTTCTTACTTTTAATGAACATCAGAGATGTGCTTGAAATAACATTGAGTTTATTATGAAAAATGCATTTCAGATCCAGTTCGCTAATATTAAATATCCCATCGAAATAAGTGGAAAACCAGTTGGATTACTTCCTGCGGTTTCAGTTTGCCTGTCTCTGTCTTGATACCATGTTCTCCCCAAACCCCCATGATTTTTTAAAACCTTTTTTGCCTTTGTGTATCAAGCCTATAATGTTGAGTGTTGTCATTTAGCTTCTTGTTTCAGAGTGGCAGTAACAGAATGTAAATTCAGACTGCTAAAAATTTATATATATACCGGTATCTTGAAGCTTATTGTATATATTAGTAGTTCACCATGGGATAACACAATGTAAACAAAAGGTAGAATAAAAAAATTTGTGAGTCCTGTGATTTCTCCATTTAAGTATTTTGTAATTTTTTTGAAAAAATTGTGGAATTGAAATAAACCTAAGTTACACCACAGTGTTTCTTTTTTGGTGCCTTCTTAGTGTCTATTTGATATTTTTTTATAAGCAAATTGCTTATGTTAGAAGAGCTGTACACCAGACCTGACTTTTGTAGGTAATGGTTATGTTGTCAAATCAAACACTAGACTATTATAAATAACTTCTGCTTTCCATAAGACAAATATGGGTGATAACATTTGAGGCTGTTATATATTTGGACACTGACACAAGTTTTATTTTAACTGTTTACTGAAACAAATTCAAATGACATATAATGAATATAGAAATAAAGTGCAGACTCTTTAAGCAGCTTTCGTTTGAGGGTACTTGCATCCAAATTGGAGGAAGGGTGTTGGAATTGCAGCTCTTCAATATGTACCACGCTCCTTTTAATGGGGCCAAAAGTAATTGGACAGTTGACTCAAAGGCTATTTCTTGGACAGGTGTGTACAAATCCTTTGTTATTTCATCATCAATTAAGCAGATAAAAGGTCTGGAGTTGATTCCAGGTGTGGTGTTTGCGTTTGGAAGGTTTCGCTGTGAAATCACAACATGCGGTAAAAGGGGGCTCTCTCCATGCAGGTGAAACCACCCACCCTTAGGCTGAGAAAACAGGAGAAACCCATCAGAGAAATTGCAAGAATATTAAGAGTGGTACATTCTGAGAATAAACAGTAGTGCACTGGTGAACTCTGCACCGCGAAAAGGCCTGGACTTCCACAGATGACAACGGTGGTGGATAATTGCAAAATCGTTTCCATGAAGAAAAACCCCTTCAAAACATCCAGCCAAGTGAAGAACACGCTCCAGGAGGTTGGTATATCAATATCCAAGTCTACCGTAAAGAGAATTAATTCAGGCAAATACAGAGGGTTCACCGCAAGGTGCAAACCACTCATAAACCTCAAGAATAGAAAGGTTGCTCTGGACTTTGTTCAAAGAAAAAAAACATCTAGAAACGCCAGCACAGTTCTTTGGATGGTTGAGATGAAGATCGATCTCTTCCAGAATGATGGCAAGAAAAAAGTATGGAGAAGTTCTGGAACAGCTCACGATCCAAAGCGAACTACACCATCTGTAGAACACGGTGGAGGCTGTGTGATGGTTTGGGTATGCATGTCTGCCAGTAGTACTGTGTCACTGGTGTTTATTGATGATGTGACAGAGGATAGAATCAGCCAGATTAATTCTGAGGTGTACAGAGACCTACTGTGTGCTCAAATCCAGCCAAATTAAGCCAAGTTGATTGGACGGCACATCACAATTCAGATGGACAATGACCCAAAACATACAGTGAAAGCAACCCAGGAACTTATTAAAGTGAAGAAATTGAATATAAAGAAAGATTGGAGTGAAAATGTGGCTAGGTACTGCTCTAACAGTGCCCATGGTATCGAGTTTGGAGAGTCAATAGCGGAAATGTTTTTTTTTTTTTAATAAAATACACAATTCTGACCCCTGGTGACCAGGGCCGTCATTGCATCTTCTGAAGAAACATCTGTTTACCTGAGGGCTACATAAGAACCGGAAAGTTTTGTTTAGAGCAATGTTTCCCAATCCAGTCCTTGTTTTTGCTCCCACCTTGCTCCCTAACAGACAATCCACATATCAGGAGCTGGGAGAGAGACCTGAGAGACTGGATTGGGAAACACTGATTTACAGTGAAGGAGTGCATTATACAACTCCTCCTGTACATCCTTTAAGAGTCTTCATCGTTTTGGTTTCTTCAGTCTTCTGCTTTGGACTCTTTTCTTAAGCACGCTATTTTAGTGGAATTTCACAGGTATAGCATAATATTGTGTCTGACATGAAAGGATATTCCCACCAAGGCCTCTTCTGGATCTATATGACAATTGCTGCCAGTCCAGTGCCTTTTGGAGCAGATGAAGATAATGAAACAATGCTGCATATGTCCTAACGTTGGGCAAAAAAACGTTCCTGCCCTAGCAGTGGCAGTTCCTTTGTGTTTGGCAGCCTCTCCTGTCAGCGCGAGTCTTTACGCTAATAAGAACTGAAAACGCCACGTCTGCGAGGAAGGTGCTCTTCGTCCGCCGCCTGGCAGGCCTCAGGGGCTCAGCACGTCGCATCCAGCTGTGCTCTGTTACAGAAATGCTGCTTCCCTTGAACCAGACGTACCGTCTTCAGGTTTCAGGCTGTCAGCTCGCTTGGAATCTAACAGCTTTTCCGTGGGTCATATACAGGTTACTTCAGTCACCTACGAGTCATTTGGTGGAAAAATAAATGTATTGAACTGTGAAGGCTTTTATAAACAGACCACTGTGGAGCTATTTTTGGTATTCTTTGTTTCAATACTTCCCTGTTAAAAATATGGGGATTGCATTACAAAAACTGCCTGATAAAAGGGTTTTAAGGTTTTACGATGGAATCACAAACGCAGCTACAAAGGTGAATCTAAGGAAGTCTGCCAATTAGCAAATATGTCAGCTTTAAAAGAGGTTTGACAATCAGCATGTGGCATTTAACAGTTCCAAAGTGACTATGCCAAAATGCAGGTGCAGTGGCTACAATAACTGGAAAATTATTTAGCATTTCAGCTGGAACAGTCTCTGATCGGGGTGGTATAAACTGGACAGTAGTGATCTGCTTTGGAAAAGAGGGACAGTGGTGAAAATAATACCCTGGAATAGAGAGCCCAAAACATCTGAGCAGAACAAAAAATATAATATGGTTTAATGACTCGTCTTTCATTTTATAATAGATTGATCCATGCAGGGGCTTTGGGGAGGGAGGTTTGGTCAGTGCACTTGTGAGTAAAAGGTTGCTGGTTCACATCCCATGGTTGTCCTTTTCAACAAAGCCCCTAACTCCAGTTTCTCCAGGAACTGGCTGACTTTTTCCAACTGCACATTGCCTTGAATAAAAGCATCTCCCATTTCCTGGCCCAAACGCAGGATTATATGAATTGGTGTCTCTAAATCTGCCCATGAAATGTAATTGTGTGTGCGCCCTGCAATTGAAAACTATCTGGTCCGGAATGTTCTCTGCATCGTGCCCTGTTCTCCCTAGGACAGGGGTGGCCAGTCTTATCCGCAAAGGGCCGTTGTGTGTGCGGGTTTTCGCTCCAGCTCCCTAATTATATTTCTAATTAGAGGACTGATTGGCTGCAGAGTCCTCACACCTGGGTTTGAACAGTTGACCTAAAGTTTACCCCAAAAACCTGCGTACACACGGATAAGATTGGCCACCGCTGCCATAGGATCATCGCCAGGGGTTTGGGGAACACTCGCCTCTGTGTCTATGATCAGAAGGTCTCCAGTTTGAACCCGGACTCGGCACATCTGGGGGGGTCCTTAAGCAAGGCCCTTAACCCCCAGCTCCCTTTGGGTGCTGCTATGGGTGGCTGCCCTTCACGGCCAGCTTGCTCTCATCTACAAAAAGCAAGTTGGGGGCAGGGCATGAAAGAGAACCTCCAGGTGGGGATCAATAATAATAATTATTATCATTATATCAGTCACTAACATTTAACAGCACCTTTTCAAGCACATTGTCCATTCAGTCTAAGCCAAAATAAAATTTTAAATTAATTTTATATATATAAAAGAACATTGGGTACTTCAGTGTATTATAATTAAGTGAAATCACTGTCCATCCCTGCTGCAAAGTGGGAGATCTACAGAACAAATAAACAGCAGATCACTTAGTGTCCCGTTGTGTGTGCGGGTTTTCGCTGCAGCTCCCTAATTATATTTCTATAATATAATCCCTAATTATATTTGCTTGTCTTACTATCAGTACTATAATTGCTAGCGCTACTGGTTTTGGACCCCTGAGCAAGGCCTGTAACCCCAGTTGCTCCAGGGACTGGCTGACCCTAACCCTAACCCTAACCCTGCTCCCTCAATTGTGAATCGCTGCGTTGCACTGGTCACCTCTGGGTACTTCAGTTTGCTCTGGTAGTCCAGTGTAGGCTAATTGGTGTCACCGATGTTACTGGCTGCTATGGGTAATGTTATAACTTGAAAATATTAACTAAAACAAGGTATTATAATAACTGGTTCTATAACTGTATTAGCTTTTTAAAAGACATTTAAAAAGTAGTTTTGGTGTTTCATAAAAAAAAATTCACAGAATTAAAAAATCCCTTAATTCTTCTTGTAACACCTGTAGTTCTGCAGAGAAACCCATGACAGGAAGGAAATTGTTCACTTTGCTCGCCATATATACTCAAGTGAAATTCAGTTTCCTTATTATACAAACCAGTCGGATGTGTATGAGAACAATGGTAAACTGAATTAAGTATTAAAAAGTAATAGATAACTGCATATAAACTATGCTGAAATCTATCCCTAATAAAAACGATTACCGTTCTTCCTTTTGGAAATAAAACATTGTTTATTTTTAATTCTCCATTCCTAATCAGATAATGTAAGTATATATTCAATTACAGGTTGCCTTTCAACCTGAGGGTCTATCTATTGCAAACTATACTAAAATGTCTACCATAAATGACCTGATACTGTTCTCGAAGGATTCACAAAAATGTTATAACATCAATAGATGGCGCCAGATATCAAGGAGACCAAGGAAAGATTTTTTTTTCTAAACTGTAGCAAGAAACATCAAATAAATAGTTGCTGCTCATTTGTATTCAATGTAAATTAAAACTATCCATCCATCTTCCAATTGCTTAACTGTTTCAGGTTTACAGGAGGGCCTGAAGCCTATCACTGGCAATACTGGGCACCAGCAGGGGATACATTCTATACAGGATTCCAGTCTATCACAGTGCACGCTCACTCTTTAAGGACACCAGTTAAATGAGCTGCATGGCTAATTGTATGAGAAACCCTGAATGATTTGGAGAGAATATGCAAATGAAAATGCAGAGGTGGTATTCAAATCCCTAATGAGTGAGCCGCTGAACAAACTTAATTAAAAATATTCTTGAGGAAAGTCTATCTGTTATTTCATGTTCCAGATTGCCTTGAATAATTCTGCTCTGGCCATTGCTAAACTGGAAATTATAGCAAGGCTAACGCTATTTTATATGACTGA